AGGAACGTTTCCTGGGCAGCTGAAAGGTGCCACCCACCGCTGGCACATTGTCATCTCACAGAGCAACCAGGACCAGACTGCAGCCAACACAACTCTCCTGGCTTTCTTCTCGGTGCTGACCACAAAGAGGACCTGCTCCTGTGCCCAGCTGGGAGGCAGAAGGCAAAGGAGGGCATCTCCTCAGCCGCCTGCCCAACTGCCCTTCAGCACTGCCTGCACTGGGGCAGGTCTCATATATAAAGTTAATTGTTTGGGTCCCAACGTGTGTACTGACTTGGTGTCTGGGAGAGGGTCCAACGCAAGCGCCCACAGGCATTTCCTCCATCCTGCCCCAGGTCGGTGCAACATGATGGGGCAGCCCCATGGGAAACCGCGGGGCTTACAGGCTGCCACAGGGCTCTCTGCAGGGCAATTACAGGGGAGAAAAGCTGACTGACACAATGTACCAGTTCCCCTGAATTACTGAACGACCCACAGGAACCTAAGAAAAGGGGTGGACGCTGCCGGAGGACAGCACACAACCACCCTGTACGTAAGCCCCCCACCCCCACCAGGGCTTAGCTGCCCCTTCTGTGGCAGCCCTCCAGCCCCCCGCCTGGCTCAGCCAAAAAGAAATGCTCTGTTGCATGATTTGGGAGGAAAATTCTGTTTGGGCTACTAGGAGGCGAGGCACGGTACCTCCCCCACTGCCCACCCCCCAAAAGCCCAGGATTCAATCTCTCTGGCTTCCTGCAGGGAACCACAGACAGGGAGGATGCAGCACCAGCCAAAGGGAGAGCCACCCGGATGCCCCACAACCGTTACCTCCCCCCGGGAAACAGAACGGCAACCAGAGATAAAACAGAAACTCTGGCTTCGAAAATGTAATTGACTTTGGCCACACGCCCCCAGCCCTTACATCACTCTTTCCAGAGTTCACAGCTGCCAGAAATGTTGGACTCCAACCCCCAACATCCCCAGCCGAGACAGCTAATGCCTCTGCAGATGGGATACAATTCCACAGGCTGGCACAAGTCCAGCACCCTTCCTGCTGCACAGCCCCCACTCTTGGTTCAGGCAGCCCCCTGCTTCAGAACACGCAGAGCCCCCCCACCCAATTCCAAGGAGAGAAGGGGAAGCCAACCCAGCTGGCTGGGGGCTTCTCTCTCAAGCAGGGCAGCCTCCCACCCGCACCAGGGCAAGAAGGAATTCCCCTGTGGCAAACCAGTCACACCGCCTTCTCAAGGCTGGCGCCCAAGTAGAGTCCCAAACGCCCAGATTAGAGGGCTTAAGAACACCCCAAGGGACAGGCCGGGCAAGGTTGCGGTCCAGGAAAGACCAGCTACGGCCAGGTCCAGCGGGAGCACTTTCAGAAGATGCTGCCTTCACGGGCAAGGCCATCTTCGACAAGTGTTCGTTACAAAGGCAAGATGCAGGCTCTCCACCAAAAGCTTTTGGGGACAAAGTGCCCCGTGCGTCCCCTGCCCCTCTTTGGGAAGGGCACTGTGCGATCCTTGAACGAGGTGACCCCAGCAGAGGGACGAGAAGCTCTGCCGTGCCAGCCGGGCTCCGGCCACTTCCAGCCCACAGCCACGTGGCACCGTCAATCCCCTGCCAAGGTCATAGGGAACAGAGGCCCAGCCCACCCTCTGCTCAGGGGAAACAGCTTTTGGAATCCGGGGGGGGTTGGGGGGGCCGAGTCCTGCCTCGACTCCCCTACTCTGTGACTTCCGGGGTGATGGTCAACAGCAGCACCTCATAGCCACGGTGGACCAGCAAAGTGAGGCGGGTCTGGGTCCGCACGGCCTCGTAGATGTCTTCTGCCCGCCGGGAGGCCTTCCCATTGATCTCTGTTACCACATCGCCAGCTTTCAGGCCCGCCCTGCCAGAGAAGAGAACAGCCCGGCAGAAGAGTCTTTCCGCTGGCCCCGGCCTGGGGTACAAAGAGGCCCAGCGACCCTTCCCCCCAAAAGCCCAGCACCTACTGATGAGCAGGGGAGCCCACAATGACCTTGTGGATGAGGACACCGTGTGGGACATCAGGGAAAGACGGATTCCTCCCTTTCAGCTCTGACAGGATGCTGGAGAGGAAGCAGAGGGAGGGAGAGATCATAGGGCCTGCCCGGTACAGAGGGGATCAGCAGCAGCCCCGCTGCACCAGAGGGCCCGTCCCACAGCCCCTTCCTCTCTGTGGCCAACAGCCACCTTGGCTCCTAGGCCTGAACAGGCACGCACCAGCCCCCTCCCTCAAGAGCTGGGCCTGGCCTCCTGAGCAGGCCTCCTCACCTGGCTCCCCCAAGCAAAAGAGAAAGGAGAACAACCCCCCCCGGCCCCCCAGAGCGGCATCGCCTCTTCCGCTGTGGATGGCCCAGA